GCGCTTCTCCTTGGAAGGAATTTCGCGCGCTTTGTGGCATTTGTTTGTTGACACTTGTCACTTGTTTGTTATTGGCAGTTAAAGGTAAGATTTCAACTAATGAATATGTAGATTAGGTTCATATATCTATGTAATGTATGTTTAAAAATAAAAGAACTGCTTTTGCATGATATTACGTGAAAAATATTCCCATACATGTATGTGACCGCTCGAGGACAATATGCATTGAAAACTAAAATAGATGAATGTATTTATTGTTAGTAAATAAAACAGTTTCCTTTCAAAATATGGATCCGAAAAATTTTGCAATGAACCTGAAATCATTTTATGGACGTAGTAAAACTACAGACAATTATCGAGTCGGAGAAATACCTGCTGATAGTGAAGATAGTGAGGTGTCAGATGGAGATACAAAGTCTTCAGAAGAAGACAAGTCTTCAGAAGAAGATGAGAATCCTCCGAAAAAATTAAAAACCCAAGCATCTTGAATGACCCCAGGAACTCGAAGAATCCAAGAATCTCGAACCCGAGCACCCCAAACACAAACACCCCGAATCCAAACACCCCAAACCCAAACACCCCTAACCCAAGCATCCAATAAAAGATCCCAATCACCTCGAAGATCGAAGCACCTCAAAGACCCAAGCACCTCAAAATAACGAAGCACTTTTTAAAAAACAACCGGCAGCTACTAAACCCAAGATCAATTGAAAAAAAATCACTGACTAAAAGAATTGAGGTCAATTCTGAATTTCTAGGAAGTGAGTTACTTCCTGAAGAAATTTTGAAATTGAATACTCCATACAAGGTGTTTTCTTACTTTTTGTCTGAAGTCGTTCGCCAGACGTGTATATATAGTGTTCAGATACGACCCAATAGACCAATACGTATAAGTTTTGGGGAAATTCAAAGATTTATAGGAGTAATTCTATGAATGTCAATAATTAGACAACCCACTACTAGAATTGATCAAAAGTTTCTTACACTAGCGACAATACAGAAAATAAAAGTAACGTGGATGAAATGTAACAGAAACTATTAGGAAAGCTTGCTTGGCTTTACCTTTCGAAGAACACCTGTCATGTGATGAACAAATAATTCCATTCAAGGGTAGAATAAACATAAAAACTTATAACCCTAAGAAGCCCAATAAATGGGGTTACAAGATGTTGGTTCTTAGTGGAATTTCTGGCCTGTCTTATAATTTCGAATTATTCTCAGGAAAACAAGGTTATACAGTGGACAAAAATGTACCTGATTTGGGTGCTTGAAGTAATGTAGTCCTTCGTCTGAGTAGACCTATTTCACTTGATATACACCATAAACTCTTTTATGATAATTACTTTTCTTTCTTGGCAATTATGTCACACCTGGCAAAACGCAAAATTAATTCTGTTGCTACCGTTTGTGTGAATAGATCACCAAATTACCAGGGTCTATCAGAAAAAGTAATGAAGCATAAAGGAAGAGGAACAATAAATGAAGAGACCACTAAATTTGATGATGAAGATTATCCATAGAAGGCAAAAAAAAATATTTGGACGAAACCTGGGCGAATAAAGGTTACATAGTTAGCAAAATGTGGCAGGACACAAACAATCAATCTTCACGATAGGCTTTTTTGGAAGGATTATTTACAGGATAGAAGGTTCCTTCCGGTAAAGGACGACGTCTAATTATAACTCATATTGGAAGTGATGACTGATTTTCAAAACTTGGTTCTTTAATATTTCAATGAAAAAACCGGAGAGTACCATGAAATATTAACGCTGATGAATATTTTCAGCAGATGATACATTTCCCAAATGGTACAGTAATAGTAATGGATAACGCTAGTTACCATTCTCGTCTAATTGGACGTGTGCCAAATACTTCATGGAAGAAAGATGATATCATTAAATGGCTAACAGACAGACACATTAACTGTCCAGAAAAATCAATAAAAATAGAAGTACTAGAAATTGTGAAATTAACTAAGCCTCCAGTACGTTATGTAATGGATGAACTTGCAAAAACACATGGTATTGATGTTGTACGTCTTCTTCCCTATCACTGCAAACTAAATCCTATTGAACTGATATCGGTACAAGTTAAAGGATATGTAGGTTGACATAATACGACATTTAACCCTCTATTGCATGAAATATACCTTTCAAATTTCCTTCAAAAAATTAAAATTTAATCTTCTTAATGTAGAAAATAAGAGAATAACATAATTAACAACTTTTTTTTTTGGAAACCCCCCCTACCACCTTTTTTTTCTATTCCCTTTTGGGTGCATTATTCATTCAAAGATAAAAAAAACCCATTGGTATTGAACGTTCATTGAAAAAATTTTGGGATCTAATTAACAGTGCTGTTCCTAAAGTGGCGCTGAGAAACAGTAACAAAGCCTACATAGAACACTCAATGACATATATAGTTTAAATAGACTGCTTATCCATACGTAAATAAAACGATGAAAAGTGGGTCGAACTGGGAGATGTTTTCTCTTTGTCTAGTGCATGCAATGTTTGTGTTTTGTCTCAATTTTGAGTGCTCACTGGTAAACAAACCTTTCACAGGACCGGTTTTAAAGAAAGTTTAGTCTAGTTGAGATTTTGTTCTCATTGTCATTACTCAGTCGGACATTTTGTTGAATTGTTTATTTTATTTAGTTTTAATTATACTTATGTTCTGTTTTAAGTTTTTTAATTATTTGAGTATAAAAACTTGTTTTGTTTTTAAATTTAAATGGTGAATTGCTCTATAAAGGTTTGTAAGACCAGCTACAGAAATATAAAAAGTAACATTTCATTTTTCACGCAAGTATCAATACAAGTAGGTACAAGGTAAATACGTTTATAATAATTTTACGAATTATAATTAATTGTAATAATATTAATAATAATAAAGTATTTATTGTAAATACAATTACATAAATATTATAATATTCAAAGGCCCGAGTTAGAGCTATCTGGGCTTTACAAGTAAGTACATTTTAAAAGTTAGTTAGATACAGAGAAGTATCGTATAATAAAAACTCAATATAAATAGAAGAAAAACGGACATAAGTACCAATACAGAGAGACAAACACTTTTATTCTTTGATAGGTTCTTTCTATGTGAATTCTAGCTCTGGCAATTTTGGCATTAAGTAAAGCCTCTTGATGGCTGAACTGATTTTTTTTATTGAGGAAAGGAGGCTGTATAATTTGTATACCTTCAGCTTGTGTTATGTTTCCAATAAACCTTTGTTAAACATTTTACTATCGAGAAATGATTCACACACTTCAAGTATTGAACTTTGTTAAAAAATGTCTATTTCTGAAGTTTACCACCATATGCTTCACTTTTGTAAGTAATGAGACCAGTAGGTGACACTCCAGTCAATATTTTAATAGTAGGCCTCTTTTTGTAGTCAGAGTAATTTTTTAGCCTACAACAAAGACATTTGGCTTGCTGTATTGGGATTTCGGTACAATTTACTTACATAGAGGCACATTATTTAATATTTCTTGTTTTGAAGGCCGAATTATACCATACTAAGAACTTCTACCAGTTTTATTAAAAACTGTTAAAAAATTTAACGATAAAAAGTTTCATTCACTCCAAATAAAATGAATAAGACATTATATCTTGCATATCAGTTTTCAACTTCATAAAAGTAAATATAACTTGATCCTTTACAGACATAACTGATCTCCTTTTTCCTATTCTTTAGAAACAACTCTGCTACTAATTCCACAATGGTGGCTAATAACTGGAAGGATTGCAATCCTATTAAAGTAGATAGTTCTTTAGCACTAACAATTCTGTTTGAAAACGGATCAACTAAATCACCACTCTTCACTTGTGTTGAAAAATCGATCCCAATTTTCTGCTTTTAAACAAAGTTTTGTAAATTAAGCAAAGCTATTCAGCAGCACACAAATCTTCATTATCTGCTTCAGTAGTAGATATATGTTCATTAACTGCAAAAACACATTAAACATAATAATAATAATTAACGAAACATTTTAAATTATGCATACGTACATCCATTGCCTGAAGAAGATAACTCAACACTTAACATTCTACTAGTACTGGCAACATATCATTATTAAAGACAGTAGCCATAATTCTTGTTTTAGCTGGATTACTTTTCTTTTTATTAATAGTCGCTTTCTTTTTACCACTAATCTGAGCTAACTTACATCGACTAAGCTTAGTTGTACGTTCTTTTTGTGATTGTAAGTCAGAATCTTTATTTCCCTCTTACCGATGCTAAGGTACACGGATCTTGACGTCAACTAAGATTGCACTTTGTACCTAGTCCATTTTACTATGATGTTGATCAGATTTCCACTGGTGGAATTTTATTATTATTCATCAAATCATTCACATTCACCGCCAAAATAATCCTTAATTGTCTAAAGGGACAAACTTTAGAATGTGAAAAAGCTACTAACTTTAAATCTTTAAAAAGTTCTTTCAATTTTTGCATAATATCTGCTTTTATAATGCGAAATAAATTTTAAAAGAATAATCAAGTGTCCGAATAGTGCCACTATACAGTAGTCATGGTCTAAAGTTAGTTATATACACATGAGTGTAAAATTGTTTATATCTATGTTCAAAATTGGTTAGATCTCTTAAAATGTTTTGAAAATTGGGAAACTAGACGTTACGACTCAAAATCTTTTTTAAAATACCTAACGCAAGCTCCTGTCTTGAAATAAACATACAGATATGTTTTTTTTTTTAATTCAATTCCTACTTTGATGAAATGTGTTTTAAACTCATTTGGGCCAGACCGATTCTGCCTGGTGAGCACTCGGCAAGCCAAGCAATATGACCCGCTTTTCGTCGTCTTGTTTATATATGGATGAGCAGTCTATTAATCTATATATGTCATTGAGAACACTAGGCGAAATAACCAGAGTAGTTAAGGATGATGACACAAAAAAATATTTTGAGGCATGCGCATTAATGAATTATAATAGCTGCACTTTTAATCGTACTGTATAATTTTTATAACGTCACAATTTTGTGTGACAGGATCATAGTTGTAGCAAATCAAAATGTGAATACTTCAAAAAAACATCTTTTAACAGATTTCACTTTCGAAATACCCTCATTTCAAAAATTACACGTGATCCTTATATTGTGTATCGTTTTGTGTATCATCTAAATTTTGTGTACACTGGACACACATATTCAAACAGGTAAACTTTCAATGTATTACATTGCTAGCTAATATTATGTAGTGGTTTTAAAAATATAAGTTCTTGGATTAGCTTTTATGTTTGTAGCTTAAAAAAAATAAATAGTTTTTCCAGTTTTAAAATATTTAGTAGTAAAATCAATCTTTGAAAATATAAATTACATTGAATGTGGAACCGTATGGGTGCCCGTAAACGTAATGGACACACAAATTTCGAAAAAACAATTGACCTAGGAAATAGTATTAAGTGTATATATGAAATAACAAAAAAAAAGCTGTTTACGCATAAATAACAGAGAAATTTGAGTTAAAACTTACGAATTTTGGTGATTCTAACCTAAGATTATGTAAGGCATATGCAACGCATGGTTGTCAAACATTTCAATTTATAATAAAATGTAGATTAATAATTGACATAATTGATTAGTTACTTTTATGAATCGAATACATATTGAAACAATGCTCATATCAGGCATGAAAAGGTAATTATTGGGAATGTGTATTTTTCTTAATAAACCAATTTTTTTATGCGTACATTTTAGGCATTAGGAAAAATAATACTTTTCAAATAAACCACCAGAGACCCCACAAAGTAACATTTCCAAACACTTTAAAAAGCACTACTTTTATTAATTTATTTCGTTGCTTTTCCTAAAAAACTTAACTTTTAATTTCCAGTCACATCCAGCGATTTTTTTAACCATTTTGATTAAATTGTACATATTAATTAAATATTAATATTACTTCATCTAAAGAGTAATAAACAATAATTATTTTGGGTTATCCAAAAGTTTTTAAACTTTCAAACAAGGGAATTAATTAGGCATTCCAAACTGAATGGCTACCAGTGGGTTTTGACGGGGTATGATATGGCAAAATTATGGCAACCCTGTAGGCCTGGTGATTTGACAAGATCAATGAAATAGATAGTTACATAGATTGATCATCCATATTTTTCAAAATAAACATAAGCTTATGCCTTAAAGTAAAAATATAAGCAATTATTTTTTTTAATTACCTAAAGGCAAAAAATTGGTTTTAAAACACATTTTTGCTAAACCGATTCAAATTAATAAATATTTACCAGACAATATGGCCGCTCGTAAACGACCAGCTTTGAGCAATCTATATAACTATATATGTATCATTGGCCCTGTTAATGACAACATGACAACAGGGTTGCCATATCTAAACTGTCATTACCCACTGGTAGCCATTTGGACAGGTCGTTGGAATGCCTAATTAGTTTGACAAACGAATTGTCAACCAAAGTCAATGACTATATCAACTAAAGAGGATAGCCAAATTCATTCAATTTTTACAGAGTCCCGCGCGGCGTGACGTCACCCCTGAAAACTTTCAGCCGTCCAGTTTAAAACGTACATCAATACACCTTAATTTTAAAATACTTTTTATTTTATTTATTTTCTAAAAGATATTTTATAAATTTAAAAGATCATTTTACCAGAGCGAAAATTTAACTCATCTGAAAATTATAGAAGTAAATAAATATCTAAATAGAAGGTAATAAATTTAAATACTATGGCCATGTTTTATGAACATTTTTTTAATGAACTCATTTTTAGGAAATTTGACATGTTAAAGTCGAAATTGATATACCTACAGAGTGAATAAAAAGTAATTTAATTTATTAATATGTACATTCCTGATAAGTTTACAAAAAGTTTTGATGAAAGTTTCATGAAATAAATCAAGTTATCAGTATAAGTTAATAAGAAATACACCTTCGTGCGTAGCGTGTTCTTATGGTGTAAATGTAAAAGGGACGAGCGTGAATTTCAAAACTTTGGCCAAGCGCGTTCTCTTTCAAGGTAGTTGCTATGTAAAAAGACGCGCGCGTTTTTTGTGTCAGATAATTTTTTTCTCTTTTGAATTCTAATAGATTTACAAAACGGTTTTGGATAAAATTTTTATGAACTAAATCAAGTTATATCGGTATAAATCAGTTAGAACGCAAGGATATTTTTTTAATATTCGAACTGATAAAGTTAGCACAATGCAGTTTTAGTGGTTTTATTTTAAGTTTAATAAAGTACGGAAAAATATATTCTTGCCTAATTTTGAAATAATGACTAGCCCAGCATATCTCCTGTTATCTTATATTGATGACTGGTTTTTTTTGGTTTTCTTTTTGTTTTTTTTTTTGTAATGTTATATACATATTTACATTTTTTCAAATATTGAACGGTTACTCCAGCTTTTGTACAAAGGCAGGAGTTTTCAAAAATTTTAAAAGATCATTTGTTTCCGCATACTCGTTCATTATCTTATCAATGCGCTCATCTAATTGAATGTACGTCTTTTTTCTTCGTTTTTCCTCTAAATTTAATGTTTTCCTTTTCGATAATAAATCCGAATATATGGACACGCCTTTTAGGCACTTAATTAATTGTATATGGCCATATTTAAGGTGATTCCAGCCTTGCACGGAGTTGTTTATTCCATGCTTTTGACCAAAGATGTTCCACATATCAATGTCTAGGACTGAATTTTCCATCCATTGTTCAATGAAATAATCTTGAAATTGCTGCAACTTTGAAGTAGAAAGGGCACCTTCCATAATGCTCAACCAACCATTTTCTACTATATATGCTAATGCTGCACACATACGTATATGTACCTGACTTTTCCGCATTTTGTTTATATTCTTCGGTCAGTCCCAACTCTTGTACTTTCCTCCATAAGCATTGATTGAAATGGAAGTTGCAACCACTAATTCTAATGTTTGGAAATGTGCTTCTCAAAACTGCTATTGCAGCCATTTCAAAGTCACTTTTTCCTGTTTTCACCTGGGAAGTTTTTCTTTTATTATTTCACACAATCTAATATAGGTTTTCTTCTGCTTGTTTTGCAGTAGCGCAAACATTGCAGGAACTATGTTCGTTTCGGTGTGGTTGCTTCCTATGTCTACATAAAACGAATATAATTGCGAGATTTGTTTACAGTAACTTTTGAAAGTTCCGTCTATAAATATTGTTTTGGCTGTACTGAGTAGATTTTGTCCACAATTCATTCTAGGTAATGAGACGTGATAGACGCATTATTAATGGGTGATTTCGAATCATCCAAGTGTCTTACACTTACAGTTAACGTATGTACTTTTAACTCTGGAACACCCTGTATATATCAGTAAACCAAAAAATCTACTTTCATTATTCGACTTCTGTTTGGGATTAATAGAGGTAGGGTCGCAACTGTCTCATTTAAATTTTATCATTATTTGAGAAATCAAGAGAGGGTCTTAAATGTATCGAGGGAGCATCTGTCTCGACACCACATTCATATATATTCAATTTATTTAAAATAAGTTAGACAAAGAATGATTTAAAATACAATTGAAACTAAAATCTTTTCAACTATTTCATTCTCAGAATTATGGATAATTTGGAGACTTTATTAGTCATTATTTTCATTTAAGTTTGTATCAACAAACAACATATGTTTTTTCCTTGTATTAAAAATATTTAAAACAACTAAATATTGATACTTTTTTACCAGACTATCGTAAGTGCCATTTGAACAAATGTCGCTTAAGGTACCATTTGGGAACGCGCGACCCGCGACAGGAGATCGAGACACCAGTAAAACGGCAAATATTGCCATACTAAATTTGATGTCGTCTGTCGCCTCTACCGAAATGTGTTTCTTATAATTACATGGGTTCAGACGTGAAGCGACCGTTTAGTGTCGCGGCGCGTTTTGAAGTCGGTCTCTGTCTCGGCTTGCGAAATGGTAGCTTAAAGGTACCATTTGGGTAGGCGCGTCAAGAGACAAGCGACCACTGAAGCGACCCCAAGGTCGATTAGGACGACAGATGCATAAATGTTACGCTTCCTACATTTCGCAAGCTTGAGAAGTGTCGCGCGACATTTACAGGGATAACCATTCGAGGGAACAATCAGCGTTACCAGACCTACTGTTTTCACGTAGATCTACTGTTTTTGTCTCTAGCAAATTGTGTTCTTAATTTATTAAGTTTGCCTCATTCTTCAGCAAATGGTTAAAGAATATTTTCTCTAGTAAATTTTCTGCAGTAAAAGCAGCGCAATAAGCATCCACTACTGTAGGTTGGCTCCATAAAAAAAAAACCTCAAGATAATCATTGTTTTTATTTAAAATGAAACAAATAATTAATAGGGCATCATAAAAAGAACATGCATATGCCAAACACTACGATTTTGAATTAGCTGATTCAGACTGGTCTAAAAGAAGTAGGTACTTATTATTTTTCATTGGTTTTTTTCCCGTACGTTAAGTATATAATAAAAATGTTTTTATTCTCTGTTTACTTTCTAATTTGGGTAGAAAAAAAGTTTATTTTTCGTTTCTTATATACTTGTTTTTTTATTTACTACACTGCAAATTATAATTATTTCCCCCTGTATTAAAATCTACTGTTCAGATCTACGGTTTTTTTTTTACCCATACTGTTCCAAAATCTGGCAACGCTGCCTAGATCGAAAGAAATTTCCATCCTAATCACCCTCAAAATGAACCGATGCTCGAGGACAGTGACATCGAGTGCGACAGGCAGCAAACCTTTGCCCCGAGTCAGATTCAGAAGTGTCTCCAGGAAGTGTCGTCTTGACGACACTTCTCATGTCGCGCCGTGCGAAATGTGTTTCATATAATTGTATGTATTTTAGATGTGAAGCGACACTTCTCGGTCGCGTCGGCGGTCGTATGTCGCTTCGGCGGTCGTATGTCGCCTCGGCGGTCGTATGTCGCGTCGGCGGTCGTCTGTCGCGCCTACCGAAATGGTACCTTTACCGTCTGGCAAAATGGAATCGATATATTGCTGAAAAATTCTGGATTTAAAAAAAAATTTTAAAACCTTATAGAAATTGTATTGCGGACTTTTTCAAATTGAATTATAAAAAAAGCCAACTAGGATTATAAAAATAAATAACCACTGCCTATATGATTCAGTTTTTGATTATTTTATTATAATATACATTAAAGCAAATTTTATTTTCTTAT